ATCATCACAACTTTACTTCTGAATCTGGTCCTCTACTTCAGAACTTTTGTTTGAATACCTGGAATATTTTTCCTCACCCCAGATCTTAGGGTATACTGTTCCTTTCTGGGGAGAATCCAAAAATTGATCATCTGTGGCCACATTTGCATCTTTTCTCAAGTTCTCTCTCTCACTGAATTTTGGGGTGGACAAAATATTCAATGAATCTCTTTTTCCAGTGAAAGACATGGACTCTCAGGAGCGTATTCGTTTAGGTTCTCATGTCTGTTTGCATCCATGATGCCCCAAACCTAGAAAACGGTGCAAGCAAATTTCTGTTTATTCAGTGTTTTGGTAATGAGTAGTTATAGCTTGTTAATAAAGGCTCACTTAACGAAAACCTGTTTAATGAAAGCCAGCACCACCACCTTGGATCATTCTCCAGCCAGAAGAGTGTACTTGAGAAACGGTGTGTCCAGACATTAATTTAGTAAATCTCAATAAATAGCCTCCCATAGGAGAGATTTCTTCTGTTCAGTCTATACAGGCTGATGAGAGTACAAGCCTCAGCTTTGCAAGCAGCTTTCCTTAGAAAACCTGCTGGTGGGAAAGTCAGCCTCCCCTCCCGGGTAGAGAGGGCCAGTGCAAGCAAGCACTCTCTTTGCTGCCTGCTGTTTCCCATCTTGTCTGGGTTGCAGCTTGTCATTGCAGTGATGGGACACCAAAGTGCAGCAGCATGGCCAGGGCTCCTATGGCATTTTATCATAGCTCTGTGACACTCCTCCTCCTCAGGACTGCCTACACAGACTTCAAGAACCAGCATGGGGGAATAATCTGGGCATTTATAATGGGGATGAGGCAATTTCTAGAAAAGTATTCCTAAATCTGGACATCTCGGCTCTTCAGTTTAGGAATCTTTGCAATGATCTGCAAAACATCTTAGTGGAAGTACACCAACTTTATTTCTGTTTGTCTCAATTGCCAAAATGCTTTATTTCCAGAGAATTAGTATTTAATTAACAATAAACTCCCAAGTTTCCCAATCCTTCAACCTAAAGGGTCAATTGTACAGGAACAAGTCCATAAATGCCCTAGGGGGATCCCTAAGACATGTAGAAGTTCTATACTGAATAATTTTGAAAAGGAAGGACTATTTTGGTGATAATATTTTTTTTCTGTTTGGCTCTTCCATAATGTGCAGTCTGTGGTGGGGATGCCATTCCCCTGCTGAGCACAAAAGTGGTAAGCCTTGCCAGGTGTGGTGGCACATGCCTGTCATCCCAGCAGCTCTGGAGGCTGAGGCAGGAGGATCATGAGTTCAAAGCCAGCCTGAGTAAAAGTGAGGTGCTAAGCAACTCAGTGAGAACCTGTCTCTAAATAAAATACAAAATAGGGCTGGGGATGTGGTTCAGGGGGAGAGTGCCCCTGAGTTCAATCCCAGGTACCCCCCAGAAAAGAAGCAGTGGTAAACATGGTGGTTTACATGGCAGTCACAGGTTCACAGGTTGCTAGGTATTTAATATGAAAAGAAGCATAATTAGATGGGTACCTATCATTGGCCTTCATGGTTTGGAGAAGGAAAGGAGGAGAGAAATGTAAGTCATTTTGAATTTGGTACCATTTTATATCCTTTGCTTAAAATTATTTTCACCTTTATTTTTTCTTTTCTGAGCTTTGAGCTATTCTCTACCTCTCCTTGCCACTGTCCCTCTAAGTATTGCAATTACCCTCAGAAATTGCAGTGCGTTTGCTTCTGTTCAGCCAGTTGGTTTAGATTGGGTTTACAAATTAGAGAGCAGCCTGTTTTACTTATGTTTTTCAGCATCTAAACAATAACATAACCACATGACTGTATCTTTAGTCACATCATTGACCTACACCTGCAGTTTATGCCCCTACAACACTCGAATGCATTAATATCACTGTCTGCAGCATTTTAATTTAATTAGAGCTGTGTTTATAATTCTCCTGGGAAAATCCTTACTCCCTTCTCCCCTACCCCATGTTAAAATAAAGCACCTCTGGTTTTCATCTGACTGATCGTTTGCTTTAGAGATGAGTGTGCTGTCAACTCTACCTAGCCCCCTCTTTTGTTGGGATCAGAGCAGAAGCAGTTGTGAGAATAGAGTTCCCTTTCTTTGGAACATTGGCTGTTAGTCTCCCTGAGTTCCTCTGTCTAGCTGTCTTCATCTGAGCAGGTGGTATTTGTATGATTTTTCTAATTGCTGGTAGTGTGCTGATGTGCCATTATAGAAGATAAGTACATGGTTATAGTAATCAAATAAAAAATGAGGACCACTAGAGAGTCACAAAGAGAGACAAAAGGAGTTAACTCTGCAGTATGGGATTCCCAGTTGTGTGTTCTCTTCTCAGAAAAAAGCCTGTGCACTGGGCAACATCCTTCCTGGGGCCCCCTGGGGCTCTTTTGTCTTCTGAACCCAGGGTTCCAGTAGGTTGTGTTGGCTGCTGGCAGATTGCTTGAGGTTCTAGAAGCACATTTTGCTTTCCTCCACTTGGTCAAGATAAACTCTCTTCAGTGACTGACAGATCTCTTCCTTGAACCTTTTAAAAAGAGCTTCCTGCTCTCAGCTTGCAGGTTGCAATCCTGACTTTCACCATAGTGGAAGCTATCCTCAGGAATGAGTGGAGTTCAGGGTCACAGTTGTTCAGTCTCTGGCATGCCTTCTGTAGGTTTCATTATGAAATAGTTCAGTTGTCTCTTACAATTTCTTGGATGGGTATGGGAGAGGATGACATAACATCCAGGCAGGTGCTCAAGTGTGCTATGTCAGTGTAGCTGTGAGGTGAGGGAACCATGTAGAAGTAAAAACTCTTCCTAAGAAACTTCAGGGAAATGAAGGCACAAATATAATGACGCAAGCCAGCACCTAACACACTGCAGAGGTGAAGCCTCCCTGGATTCCTATCAGTAGGCGGGAGGCAGATTTCCCAAGAAATAAAGTAGAAGTAATTTTGAGTGCTGGGCTTCTTCAGCTTGTCCTTGATGGAGTTGAGGAGGCAGGGATGAGCTGGCCTGGTTTTCACAGACAAGCTAGAGGACCTTGTTTTTCCTTGCTTTAAGGGAAAAATAATTGTATTATGAAATACCATCCTCTCTATTTCTTGCACTCATGCCATGCCCTTTGGAGACCCTTTGGTTGCACAGTATTTTCTTCACCAACTGTTTCGCTTCTGCAAAAACCATAACAAAACAGAAAGCTAGTTCTGGGAATAAAGCTAACGGCAAACATCTACATGTATGATGAGACTGGGGGATCATGTGAGGGTGGAGGAGAATGGAGAATTCAGAAAAAAAAATTAATCTAGAAAAACAGATTATGTTTGAAATGCTTAAAAGCACATCTCACCTAGCAAAATCCCTGAACAAATTTAATGTTTCCCATACATGTGATTATATATCTTTGCCTCTTAAACTATCCTAACACAAACACCAAAAAGTGTAACTCCTCCTTAAGTTAGAGTTGCTCAAACTATGTGTGATATTTGGTAAAGTTCGAGAAAAGTGAAGTTGACAGTTTTGCCTCTGGGTGACCTTTCATAAGACATCTTGATTGACATAGAAATCAAATCTAGGATATTTGGGCCTGCCCTGAATTAACAAATTCACCAGGAAACTTTAAGATGCATGTTTAAACAGAAATATTCCACCCACCCTAGTTTCTGCTAGTGGATGCCTTAGGGAAGGTGTAGCAATTCCATCTGGAAATTGCAACAATATGTATATATTCATTTAAAATTGAAATTTCCTGGCACAACCACCAAACTTTCCAGGCCATGAGCAGAAGTTTTAATTTGGTTGTAGGGTCAGGGGACTCCCCTGCTTCCCTTTGCACATTTGAAGAGATGTAAAATGTTGAAAGAACTATCCTTTCAAAAAGTAAACACCATCTTCACTTTACTTTAATCTAGGATTTTCTTTTGCTCCTGGTTTTTAAAATTTTCATAATGGCATCTTACTGGTCTTTTCATCCCAACTTATTTTTGGACTTTGTATGTCCTACTTTGCCCAGTTAAACCGCAGAAGCTAACGGAAGTTATGTTTATGTATGTGACTGCAAGTCAAACTAGTTGGTGTGTAGATCTGAGATGCAAATTGCACTACTGTTCTCACTGAATATACTAGTTGGTTTCTTGCCATTATTTGCAATATTTTAACTTCAAACTAATAATAATCCTTCACACCCCATCCAGTTTCTTTTAATTGATCTAGCAAACACTGCTCATTTGAATTCAAATGGTGATTTTACTGAAGCCCCTCCTACTGTCATTAAGCATCTTCATTTAAATAATGCTTTCCTTAGTCCAAACAATTCTTTGAAGATGTCTGAAATATTTCAGAGGGAAAGGAAATACAGATTCTGATGGGATATGAAGGAACAAAGAGACACCTACTAATTCTGCAGATCATTCTCTCTTAGGAAGGAAGAAATTAAATGTTGGATATTTTTGGTTATGGTTATTGTTTTGTGAGAGAAAGATGATAGAAAAACTTTGCTCATAGATTTCTTAACAAAACCTAGGTCTTTTTAGCCATTACTTTCCACTTGGCCTATTTAATATACTCTTACTGGATCTGAGTATAGAATCATATTTTGATTAGAAGCTGGGGTTATTGCCAGAGAAGAGGAAATGTGGTGTTAATGCATTGGTGACATTGATATGTGACTTGGAAAAATAATTTTTGAGAGAGTTGGTTTTTTGCTATTCTCTTGGATTTTTTTCTCCCCATTGGCTCACCTGTGTCCCTCGTCATTACCTGAACAAACCACAGGGGTGCACATCTGTTGACCTCAGTCCAAAGAGCCCAATCAATATTCAACCTTTCCTGCATTTTTTATAAACCTCAAATGTGAAGCATCTAAAGGACAACTTATGAACCAGGTGTTCGAATGCCCCACCTCCCTTTTGCTTCCCACACCCCTGGGTAGTTTCACACCTCCATTCCAAGCTTTCACTGCCTTTTTAACCCCCTCGCCTCTTCCTGCCCTTATTTTTAACAGCAGGAACGAATTTCATATACACCTCCAGAGAGCCCGGTGCCGAGTTACGCTTCCTCGACTCCACTTCATGTTCCAGTGCCTCGAGCGCTTAGGATGGAGGAAGACTCGATCCGCCTGCCAGCGCACCTGCGTGAGTGTCGGCTGCCAAGGGAAGGGGAAGGACAGACTGACAGACAGGCTGCTGGACCGCACGGGGCGGGGGAGGCAGAGGGCTCCGAGCCATGGAGGGGCAAACTCTGAGGTCGTTTTCACAGGACTCTGCCTTGTTCGCTTTGGTTGCTTTGGAATCTTTTGACCCCACCCCATAATGGCCGTGAAAAGTTTGAGATTCTTGACGCTTATTTCTCAGTGTATTTATTTCATGTCTGATGATATGTGAAAAAAAAAAAAAGGAAATGTGCACTATATGGCAGAGTCAATTCAGTGTCCTAGGAGGCAGATTATTATTGTTATGCCATGTTTATCTGTATTCCTAGATTCACCTACTCCCCTTTAAAGTTTTCTTTGATCTGAATGAGGCTTAGTTTCTGATTCACTCACTTCACTCCCTGCTTTGCTTTTAAGCTGGTGCTCTCTCTTCTTTGTAGACTCCCCCTCCCTTCTTTTCTCATGGCGGGTTACATTTTATATGCTGATATATGTCTTTTCCCTGGTCCCCTCTTCTACTCTCTGCTTGGGTTTGCTTTGCCTCAGCAGCTTTAGTTTGTAGTAGTTCCACCATCCTCTCCCAAATCATCCCTACTCCTTGCCGCCACCACTTTTCAGCTGTAACCTTGGCAGACATTGGGTCCAAAGCATTGACATCTGCCAGTTCTGTTTTTGATCTGTCTTTCCTGTACTGCTACTTCGTCCAGGTGATAAAATGTGATTGGGGCAACTGGAGAAAATGAATCACCTGATTCCCACCCTGATCGTGGTATCCAAGAAAATGCCACATTCTCTGGCTTGGATGATATCCTGAGAGCACAAGTCCAGGTTCTGGAGGTTCCTGGGGACAACTTGACCCTTCCCTCGTTGAATCCCAGTGACATAAATGGTGGTACAGTCATGCTGGCCATCTCTTTCAGGCTATTCTCCTTTTGTTTCCATCCTTCCTCAGAAGGTTGCTTACTAAAAGTACAGAAAAATAAAACAGGAAACAGGGGACCCAGGCTCTCCTTTTCTCTCTCTCTGATAAATCAGAGAATCAGATGAATGATGCTAGGGGTCCTGGGAGACATTGCTGGTTTATCCCTTCTGCCTACAGTGAGGATGGTTGCTGGGATTTTTGCAAGGAACTGGCAACATGAAACTCCTTGCCCTCTTCAATTTGCTGTGTCTGTTGGTAATTACAAAGTTGCTGCCTACTGTGGTGTAGACATTCCTGCTTCACCTGGGTAGAGAGGTAAAGGACACAGCCCCATTCTACCATCTTTTCCTCTACAATGAACTTTTAAAAAGGAGGTTGGAACTGTACAGGCCATGGTCATGACTGCGGGCACTGACTGGAGTTTTAGGGCACCATAGGGCACCATTGCAGCGGACAGAACTGGCAAAGAAATGGTGGGCAGACAATAGCAGATTTCTCTCCAGATATTGCCTTATGCCCAGTATATTTACATCAGGAATATTCACTTCAGGACGGAACATACTCATGCCATGTAGGCAAAACTTGTACCACCTAATCTCATTCATTTGTTCATTCCATTTGTAGTTACTGATTATCTGCTTCTAGGATCAGGGTACAGAAACAAAGACAGAAGACAAAGCTCCCTGTTCTTATGGAGCTTAAATTCTAGTACAGAGAGAAAAGAAATAATGAACACTTGTCCCAAACAAGCTGAGGTTTCTTTCATGACTTTGTATTCTTGTATTTTGCAACATCCCCCAAGGAGGCCCTAACTCATGGTTCACCTCTGAATGCCTTTGACATATGTAAGCTCTTTTGCTGTGGAACTCTCTCCCTAAAAAGTTATTATGGTAAAACAAAGAAGCAGGCAAGCAAATAGACAAGCCAAACCAGCAGTCAAGAGGTCTTAATTCATAACTCGTTCTGCTGTTTGACTGCAGTCAGTTGTTTAATTCAGTTTCCCAATCATGTGGGACCGCATCTGGAGTAGCAAATATTTAAGATCCTTACTATATTTAAAATACGCAGTTCTCATATAAGCTTTCCTTCTCCTTGGAACCGTTTCTTCAATACCAACACTTTAATTTCTTCTAGTGTCAGTTCTTTCATTGAACCACTTCTGTGCCGCTTACCAGTAATTACTTGCTCCCAGTATATGCCTAGGATACAATCATAATAGCTAATAACTGTGGGATTATCCTGTTCCTGGCGCTGTGAAATTCTGTATATATAAATTATTTTATTTCATTCTCGCAATGTAAGGTGGGTCTTTTTTTACCTCCATATCACACATAAGGACTTAGAGAATTTAAGTAATTTTTTAAGGTTGATTGCAAAACTCATAAGAGATAAAGATTCAAACTCAATTATGCCTGATTCCAGAGCCTTGGCTTTTATCCATTATGCCACCATATAAGTATGTGTTTAATAAATATTTTTGAAGATGGGTGGATGAATTCAGGGATGATACTTGGCTAGATTTATGACTGATGTGGCCACAACATTGGCTTATGGCTGGAATCCATTCTAACTTGTTCTGTCTGTTGCTGAGTAGTTTGCATATTACCCTTGGATGGACATGTGCCTGAATCCTCACATAGACAATCATCCAGCTGTAGCACATTACTGCTGACTTTGGTGCATAATCAGTAGTTAGATTGTGGATTCAGGTTAGGATAATGGCTTTGCCTAAATGTGTACTCTGGCATTCTAACTTTACATATCTCTCCTTGGTAATCCGCATGAGTCCCTTTGTGATACCATGGTCCCGACATCTGGAACAAATCCTCTGAAAGTGGAGGTTCCCAGGCTCTTGCTGTTTGCCCTCAGCTGGGGCTTTCCGAGCAAGGCCCAGCTTCCCTCGTCCTGTTCAGGACTTGACTGCTTCTCATGCTGTTTGAGAGGCAAATAGAAGGTTAAGACTGGGGCCACACACTTGAAGATGCATCCCAGCTGAGTTTCCAAACCTTAGTGAAAATAAATATTCTAACAGGGGAATTGGGTTATTGCTGTTTTAATCTGGGATTCCAGACAATTCCCAGTGGAATGCTCATGGAAAGTACGGGGAAGAATCTGAAAGCCAAGACAGCAGCAGGACATTTATGGTATTACTGGGTTGAAAGCATTTTTAGCTGCTTGTTTTAAAGAGATACTCACCAGACTGGGATGGCTCCAAGTGGCTTTTTTTCTCCATTTATCACTTGATCTCCAGATAAAGCCTTTCTCTTACCTTTTTTGCTTTCTTTCATTCTTAAATCAAAATCTTACCCTTGGAGAGAGGAAAGCAGGGATCATAAAAGCTAAGATTCTCATACAGAGTTTCTCACCAGTTTGTTCTGCAAACACAAGGCTAGACCTAAACTGAAGACACAGCGTAACAAATTAGCATGCTATTGAGAAGTACAAAGTGATGCTCTCCCTTTTATTTGCCTGTGATAAAAGCCAAGTGATAAATGGAGCATTGTGTTAAGTGGTGATTATGAGGGACTGAAGGGATGGTGGGGGAAGGAGAAGAGTCAAGGGAAGAAGGGCCAGGCCTATCATGCTGGACTGACTCACTGCCCAAATTTTCAGGATGGTGCCCTTCAACAGTCCTGCAGCAGAGCTCCGCTGCTCACCAGGGGAGCAAACACAAGTATGTTTGCTGAGAAAATAGAAAGGACATGACTTTTTTCTTCTTCTTTTATAAACTTTTTTTTTTTTTTGTATGCTTGGAGGTAGAAGGGCTGAAGTACAACAATTATAGCCGGCAGGTGAAAAAATAAGTTCCATCCTTTAAAGGGACCCATCAGCCTTCCATCACAGCTTGAGAACACTTGAAAGAGTAAGGACCTCTCAAGGGTGCTCAGTCAAGGTCACTCTTGACCTTGCAAGCTGAGGAGGGCTGTGGCCTGGAGAACAGATGCTGTTTCCCCATTCTTACCAGGGGCCTTGCTGTGTGAGGGAGGGACTTTTTAAAATTCATTTGTCCAAAGGCTACCTTCTTTTAAACTTGTGGGGAAGTGGGTGTTAAAGGGAGCAGCAAAAGTCACATCATGAAGTAGTGGCACCCTGCTTAGGGTAAAGATTCTGTGTCCGTCAGACCAAATACCTAACATAAGCTACTTAAAAGAAGGAAAAGTGCATTTTGGCTTACAGTTTCAGAAGTTTCAGTCCATGGTTGGTTAGTTCCATAGTTTCTGGGTCTGGGGTTGAGGCAGCACTTCATGGTAGGCAGTGCATGGTGGAACAAAGCTGCTCACCTCATGGTGGGGACGTGAAAGAGAGGAAGAGAAGGGTTTAGAGTCCCAATAACTCCTTCAAGTGCATCCCCCTCCCCAATGACCTTGCTTCCTCCCACTAGGCCCTACTTTCTTGAGGTTCCACCACCTTCCAATAGCACCGCAGACTGGCAACCAAGCCTTTGGGAGACTTTTAACATCCATACCATAACATGCTTGCAGTATGTTAACAGGGACTCTGTTTGACACTGGGCCTCCAACAGTGATGCTGACGCCAGGCAATATGATAACAATGTAAATACATTTCAGATATGAAGCAGAATTTAAATAATTAAATATATTTATTTTAAATTTCTTTTAAACATTATCATCCCACATCCAATTGATTTAATCACATCTAATCATAGGAGTATTATGCCATTGGCCCAAAGACTGTATCTTGCAGTGTCTTTTTGGCCTTCTAAAATATCTGCAAGTTGATATTGAAAAATTGAGACCCAGGACTCATTCATCATATTTAATAGGGTTACAGTTTACGATGTTGCGGGTTAATAAATAGTCGTAATAGCTGCTGGGAGTATTCTAGCATCATAACACCAGAAATAGTCCCCTGGCTCTCCTTCCTTTCCTTGTGAATCTTTCAAAATTCTTACATTACTACTCCTGCTTGTGGGTGTTTAATAATTTAATTCAATGCCTTCCTTTGGATATGTTACCTCACTGCTCACTCACCCAGCCGTTTTGCATTCTCAGCAGAGTAACTGAATTTAAGACAGACATGTGATAAGCAGAGGTATATTA